CCTTGTATACCAAATCTTGTGGGATTCACTTAATTTTTCGATGGTGCCAGTTCGGGCATGAATAGTAAAAAAAGCCGTGCCAGTTAACCGGTTAAGTAATGACTTTATAAATAGTGCAAATTTTGCAACATGATAAGTGACTTTTCTGTTCAGAATGACTCAATTTGGTAATTATTTAGAAAGCGGATTTTCTCACCGATTTCAATGAGCTTGAAATATATTGTTAAGGACGTTATTCTGAACAACTTTTTCCTATACATGTTACCGCCGGTCAACTTTAGTTTTCGAGTTATAAACAAAAAAAGTTTCATAATTGAATACTAATTTTCCAACATTGTGTCGATTTCTTAAGTTAATATGTTCTTTGTATGACACGTGTAGGCAGGGGGAGCTAATGCTCCCCCCGTCAAGAAAAAATGAAGAATTTAATTAACGACTACGACTTCCGATTACATTCGCTAAATGTCGAAATTACCAAAAAAAGTTTTATTAATAAAGCATCGTTGTCCAAACCTGTATGTTTTAGACATAATTTATTATTGTGGAATATTGGATTCAGAAACAATTTTTCAATATATGAGTACACTCATTCAAATGTTGTTTTAGCATAGTGTACATCGACAATTCTTACATAACTGCTGCTAGTCTTGACTATTCTTTTCCATTATATTTTAAAAGTTTTCCGAATCAAAGATTCTGTGTATCTGTATACTTTCTACGTATATACTTTATAAGTTTGTAAATGAAACATATATCTAAATACATCAGTAACAGCAAACCCAAGTGTTAAAGACGTTTCAATTTTGCAATTGTTACTTTGGCGGATTTTCTTAAGTAACATTTAACTTGATCGTTTGTTTTAAGAGATTTTTATTAAGAATAAATTTCTAAATAAAGGAAAACTAGCCTGAGAGATATTAAAGTAGTCTTTGCCTATTAGAGTTTTTACTTTTTTTAAATGGAGCAACAACAAATGTAATTGAATACTAATTAGCATGTACATAGTACGTACTTTTGCAATAAATAAAAATGTATTTATTGTTAGTAAGAGGGTTAATTGACGAACATTGAGTAAGCAGCAATTGTAAGCAGACGTATTATGCAAAATATATTTGTAATATTTTCTAATTTAATGTTTTTTAACAATCAGTGAATATTTTTATAGCTTGTAGAAATACTTATTTATGTACAACAAACTCAATTTTTTCAATGATGGTTTTTGTGTTTGAACGCTAGTGTCATCTCTATACTATAAAATATACAAATGATATTAGCGCGGTTCAAACCATCTTTGAATATTAACACTTAATCCACGGGTCACAGAATTTTTCGTTTTCTGCGATCTATGTTGAAAAGTAAATAATTTATAAATATTTTACTGAAATACTATTAACTTTCTTCTAACCGCGCAAAACTGCTTGCTTTACGCAAAAAGTGCGCACATAGCAGATTAAGTGTTGCTATAATATACCGTAAAAGCATGAAATATCAATTATTCTTTTCGGATAAAGTTCCAAAAAGCGGAATTCTCTGATTTTGCTATCAATTAATATACTACTGTATTTTGGTGCGCTGATTACAAATATGATAGTGAAAATTACCGACAAGATCATTTTCAAAGTCAAAACTAAAAAAAAAAAATTATCGCTTTTTTAACATTTTGATAAATATTCATGGCAAAACAATCTTTTAACTAAAAATAACTAAAAGTAACTAAAACGTTATACCTCTTGAAAAAATACATCATTTATGTGCTATGCATTTTTTCCATAAAGCCAATACTTTTCGAAAAAAACGAGATAATAAGAAAGTTAATAGAACACTCCCTTTTCTCACACTTGCCTAAGATAGTAGACTCTCACTATGGAGACGCTAGTTATAAGTTCACCTAAGAAGTTCATCCCTGCGTAATTTATTGAGCGTTTTATAAATATTTTAAAAAACATGAAAAAGAAAACAAAAAAGTAAAAACAAATATAAATACCTTAAAAAAAAAAAAAAAAAAATTGGAGTCAGTTTTTCGTCACGTCTTCCGTCATTGACTCCGGGTTCGGTTAAAAACGAAAAATATATTGTTACACTTTCACTGCGATTCTGCGCTCCGCGGAGAAACAAGAACTCAAAAGTTTTGCGCAGATCCCGATTGTCCATTGTGATCATTTGCACAGAACATTATTGCCCATGTTGAGTTTTACTTGAAGGTTTGAGTTTTGCCAGAAGTTCAGTAACTTACACTTTGTAAAGCAGAAAAGTTTAGTGATAAAATAAGAAGAACATTTTTAACATAGCGACTTGAAACGAATGACACACGGACGAAGGAAAGACCGAAAACAAACGAAAACCAGTGGGAACAATAAAATATCAGAAAAGAATATTAAGTTGCACGCTTACGGCACACTTTGTGCACTTAGTGCAGCAGTGTTCAAAGATTTACAATTCTTCCCAACAGGCCATGTACAATTTTACACAAATGAAGCATTATGTATTGTGACATTAATGATATTGTAGTAATATAAGGCTGAAGCACAGACTTTTGCATAACGCATAAGACATAAGAAAATCAACCAATTCAGCTTTTCGTTTTCATCCCTACTTCTTGTTTTAGAAAGCTTTGATTGATTGATTCTTTTATTGTCTTATGCATTATGCATTATGAAAAAGTCTGTGCTTCGGCCTATAGGTTAGGTTAGGTTAGGTTAGGTTAAAATAGAATAGGTCAGGTGCGGAGGTTTGGATGGCCCTGGGCCCCGTCCTTTATCAGTGGGTAGGTAGAACCATAGACGTATAAGAAATAGACTGCGCGTGTGAGAGGGGAAGTGAGTCAAACTTCGGAGTGAGACAGATGCTTTCACCCGAGTCTCTGTCTCTGTCTTTCAGCACCTGGAGTGGGGACTCCCGGAAGACAACTCCATAGAATGTCTATGCTGTCAATCGCCTACTGTCGCCCCTTCATCGCTCGATGCTCCTCTATTGCCCCACTACGCTATTTCTTATTCCTACTACTTTTCTTGTCCGCCAATCACCGCGTCACTAAACAAGGATAGAGACTCGGGTGAAAGCATCTATCCTCGTCCGAAGTTTGACCATTCTTTCTGCACAGAAAAGATACGGGACGCGCAGTCTATTTCTTATATGTCTATGGGTAGAACACACAGAGGTCAGCTGACTTCAGAACAACGCAGGTGCTCACCGGGCATGGCAGCTTTGGTAAGTACCTGCCCCGGATCGGAAAGATCCGGTCACCGAGATGCGACCATTGTGGCGCAGCCGTTGATTCGGCCCGCTACACGCTGGCAGAGTGTCTTGCGTGGGAGCCCGAACGCGGGACCCTGTGTGCAGTCGTTGGTCCCGATCTTTCTTACGCGACTCTATTTGGTGATATGGCGATCAACCTAGAGGTGTGGAACGCGGTTGTCTCTTTTAGCGAAGCTGTTATGCTCGCAAAAGAGACGGCAGAACGTGAGATGAGAAGGTGTTATACCCCCCTTCTGCCTCCAACAATGGTGAGGACCCTTAGGGGGGGTTTTTCGAGTCAATTTGACTCTTTTGGCTGGAGTGTTTTGTACACTCTAGCGAACAAGTGTATCTATTTGTCGTTGTAGTTGAGTTTCGCGGCGTTGAGCTTCCCCATCAACATCTGGCTCCGCTGCCCAACCTAACCTACATGTGCCAGATGTTTTCCACTATCCTGGCCAAGAACAATGTGGCCCGAACAACAGGCCCGGGAGAACACCGCCACCGAAGCAGTACTTCAGGGTCAGGTCCCGGTGGCGGTGTCAATTCAAACTCTCTCGAAAGCATTAAGAAAAAAAAAGAATAGAATAGGTCAGGTTAGGTTAGGTTAGGTTCTGAATGATATACTCGCGACGACTGCTCGGGTCGTGCAACCTGAGTTAGTCGACACCTCGACGGCTCCTCCGCAGCGTCCCCCTCGAGGTCCGCGCCGGCGGCGTAACCGCCGTCGTCGACGTATGGCACAGGCTGCTGTAGAGCCTTTGGCCTCTGGCTCCTCTGTCTGGGAGCCGGAAGTCGTTGTGCGAGAGGGAGATCAGCCTTTTCCCCAAGAGACATGGGCCACCTTTGCCCGTTGTGGTCGCCGACCCCTTGCGGGACAACCGAGTACGGGCCCTTCGTATGTGGGTCCCCCTACGACCCGCTCGAGACAGGAGGTTTCGCCGCGATCGGCGTCCCGGCGACGTGGTGTATCTCAGCCGCGACCGCTTCGCACGGCTGCGGTCACTTTAACATGTGTAGGTGATTCGGTCGACACGGCGACTGCTCTCCGCCAGGTTTGGCAGAAAGTCAACCTCACCGAACTTGGGATCGAAAAGACCTCGATCCGGCGTGCGCGTACAGGTGGTCTTGTAATAGAGATCCCTAGCGCAGACGGTTACATCAAGGCCGACGCTTTGGCTGCCGCCATGCGTTCGGTGCTTGAGGAATATGGAGAAAGTGTTCAGGTTGGCCGTCCTGTGCAGCTGGCCGAACTTCGCCTCGTAAGAGTGGAGGCCTCCGTGGAGCAGACTGAGGTCTGCTGTTGCGCTGGCCACTGGTTACGACCAGACCAGCATCAAGGTGGGACCCTTTCGCTTTACACGCGGTCTCGCCACGGTATGGGTACAGTGTCCCTTGGCTGCGGCCAATATACTCTCCCGCAAGGGCCGCTTTCGCCTGGGCTGGTTTTCTGCCCGCGTTGAACTGCTCCAGCCTCGCGGGCTGCAGTGTTTCCGGTGCCTCTAGTCGGGACACACGCATACAATGCACGGCGCTGGCCGATAGGAGCGCCGAATGTTATAATTGCGGGGAGACCGGCCACCAAGCCCGAGAGTGTCGCAATCTTACCCGATGCTCTGCGTGTACCGCTCTTGGCCGGAGTGCGAATCACCGCATTGGCAGCCGTTTTTGCACGGCTCCTGGACCGGCAACGCGTCCATTGCCAAGGGAAGTTTTCCCAGCCACAAGTAGAGCAGAGGTCTGCTGCGGCTGATGAAATGGAGTTTGACGTACCGCACGATACGTCATAATGGCGCGTATTCTGCAAGCCAACCTGCATCGGTCTCGGCCGGCACAGGATCTGGCCCTTCAATTTTGCGCTGAGGAGGAAATCGGTGTTGCTGTCTTCTCAGAACATCATTCGACACCTGATCATCCGCACTGGGCAGGCAGCACTGATGGACTATGCGCCATTCACTGGCGTCCGCGAAGTTGCCCTAATGCCTGCCGTGTGGCTGCCGGGAAAGGCTTTGTAGTTGCTCAACTTGGCACGTTTGTTATTTTCTCGTGCTATTTCTCCCCCAACCGGGACTTAATGGAATTCGAGAACTACCTCGATCGACTTGGTGCGGCGGTACGCCCCTTCCTCCCCGGAGTGGTTCTTGTGGCAGGCGATTTTAATGCCAAGTCACCGGTTTGGGGGAGTTCAAGTAGCGACCGGCGGGACTGTCTAATGGCGTCGTGGGCAGATGGCGTGGGCCTTGCCTCTCTTAATGTGGGCAATGTCCCGACGTGCGTCCGTGATCAGGGCTCTTCCGTCATTGATGTGACGTGGGCCTCCTCTGCAGCCCGTTGGCTGGCGCGGGATTGGCGGGTGGATGCGAAAACGGAGTCGTTGTCCGACCACCGCTATATCCTCTTCTGCTTAGAAAAAGGAGTTCGACCTTGGCCGGACCACACCTCAACCTACTTCCCTAGGTGGGGCCAGTCTGAGCTGGACCTTGTCTCCTTTCAGGAGATAATCCATGCCCACGTCGGGCTGTTCTCTGCACCTCCTGCTACGGTAGAGAATGCCGCCAACTGGCTTCGGCGCGTGGTCACCGAAGCGTGTGATGCCACCATGCCCCGACTTCGAGGGGCGAATCGCCATCGGCCAGTTTACTGGTGGAACGAGGATATCGCCGAACTTCGTCGCGCGTGTATCCGCTGTCGCCGTGTCTTCTTCCGACGTCGCCCACGCGCGAACGACGCTGAGATCGATCGTCTCAAGGCCGACTTGCGTGCTGCGCGTAAGACTCTGCGCAATGCCATTCGCAACGCAAAGTCGCGAGCCTGGCAGGAGTTGTTGGACTCAGTTGAGCGTGATCCGTAGGGACAACCATACTTGGTCGTCATGAATTGGTTGCGACCGTCGGCACCTCCACTCACGGAGACCCTCGATCCTGTGACGGTGCACACAGCGTTGGACACTCTCTTTCCAGGAGGAGAAGTCGAAGACCCGCGGGAACCAATCCTGCCCACTGATTGGTCGCCAAAGATTTAGCGGTCACGGAAGGCGAGATGCGTGGGCCCGTCGATACGTCCGTCCTGGCACTGTGGCTCCTGGTACAGATGGGTTAACAAACCACATCTTCAGTGCCACGTATTATCCGCTGCGTCATCGCTTTCGGGAATACTTCACGCGTTGCTTCGAGGAAGGACGGTTTCCTAAGGTGTGGAAGCGTTCCCGTCTCGTCTTGTTGAAAAAGCCTGGCAAGCCGGACGGCTTACCGTGGTCTTATCGTCTCATCTGCTTGCTAGACGAGATGGGAAAGTTCTTAGAGAGACTAATTGCCAGCCGCATCCACCGCCATCTAAATGAGCCCGGGTGTGACCTGGATGATGCGCAATTCGGCTTTCGAGTGGGCCGTTCGACCATCGACGCAGTCTTGCGTTTCCGGCAGTGTACGGAGGAGATAGTTGCCAGGGGCGGAGTGGCAATTGCTGTCAGTATCAACATCTCTAATGCCTTTAACTCCGTCCCCTGGCAGGCCATTCTGTCGGCCATGGAGTGTCGGGCGTTTCCGGACTACGTCCGAGCTATTGTAGAAGATTACCTCCATGAGCGGCAGATATCCTACGTTGGAAAGAACGGTGGTCTCTACCATCGTCGCGTGGTGTGTGGTGTTCCTCAGGGGTCGGTTCTCGGGCCGCTCCTGTGGAACATTGCGTATGACAAAGTTCTGCGCGAAGAGCTTCCGCCGGGGTGTCGCCTGGTATGCTATGCGGACGACACCCTTCTTATTGCAGAGGGTCGTTCGTCCGCGGCGGCTGTCAACTTCGCCATGCTTGGCACTGAGGTGCTATTATGTGCCATACGACGCCTCGGTCTTTGAGTTGCTCCCGAGAAGACAGAGGTGGTTGCCTTCGTTGGCCGTCACCACGACCCACTGCCCGAGAGTCTTCAGCTGGCCAGAGCCTATGTGCCCATTCGCCAGCACGTTAAATATCTTGGGCTGCTTGTCGACGGACAGTGGTCTTTCCGCGCCCACTTTCAGGCGGTCTTGGAGTGGGGGGAGCGAGTGACTTCTTCCCTTGGGCGTCTCATGCCCAATCTGCACGGCCCAGGTGAACGTCGACGCCGCCTATATGCGATGGTGGTAAATTCCATTGTCCATTATAGAGTCCCGGTGTGGGCCGATAACCTTCTCCGCTCTAGGTGGGGATGCGTCGCGTTTTGCCGCTTCCAGCGGACTTTGGTTTCGCGCCTGGTGTGCGCGTATCGAACAGTTTCGGGCGCTGTCGCCGGGATGCTCGCGTGCACTCCGCCGTTCGAGCTGCATGCACAATATTTGAGTCGGGTTTTCCATGAGATGCGCGATCACCCGCCGGATGATCTCCCTCTCGATCTCACGGAGTTACAACGCAATGCGCGCCAAGAGATGGTGCGGCAGTGGCGCGCCCGCGTGCGCGACCCTCGACTGCCTGCTCCAGAAGTTCGGAATGCCCTGGCTCCCGTTCTTCGGAAGTGGGTTGACCGGCCACATCGCGGCCAGTTAACGTACTGGATGACGCAGATGCTCACCGGACACGGCAGCTTTGGAGACTATCTGTGTCGTATTGGCAAAGCAAGGTCGCCAAAATGTGAGCACTGTAGTGCGGCCGTCGATACGGCCCGCCATACGCTCATCGAGTGTTCTGCGTGGGACACAGAAAAAACGGAGGGCCTTGAGTGACGTCGTCGGACCGGACCTGTCACTCGCGGTACTCTTTCGCGGCATGACGGCCGACATTGGTATATGGGATGCGGTCGTCTCCTTTAGCGAAGCAGTCATGCTTGCTAAGGAGATGGCAGAACGAGACCGCAAGCGTAGGGGAACCTCCTCTATTACCAGCACTGAGGAACCTTAAAGGTTCTTTCCGAGCCTCTTTGGTTCGTTGGAGTTACCTCCGGGTGCTTTAGTTATGTTCCGGACGTGTGACCTTCGGGCCGCACGCCCGGTGGGAAGGAACTTGTCAACGGGTTCAGGGCGTCGAGCTTGACTATCTTTGCTCCGCCGCCTGACCTAACTTGTAAGCGTGCCAGATGACTAACATCTTCCTGGCCAAGAACAATTTGGCCCGAACACCAGGCCCGGGGGAGATCCTGTCACTGAAGCAGTGCTCCAGTACAGGTGGCAGGATCAACTACATCTTCCCCCATTGTATGTCAAGGGGAAAAAAGGTTAGGTTAGGTTCTTTCAGGGCCCGGGAGAGGTCGGCCGGATCGGGACGGTGTGACGTTGGGGGAGCCGGCTCCCTTGTTAGCCCTCCGTCTCGATAGGAAACCCTTAAAAAAAGAATGGCGGTAGCTCCGGGGAGGTACCGACCTCCTCGAGGGTGGTTAACTACCGCCGGAGACCGTGAAGTCAAGGTGGGGACCCTGTGTCTGTCCTGCACGCGGTCTCGATACGGGGCGTGTGTCCCACCTGTCGCCAATTCTAAGAAATGGGAGAAGGGAGGCTATCTCTCTCTCCCCTCCGAATGAGCACGCCCGAGGGAGTGTCCCGGTAGAGTCTCACAGAGGGGTTTTCCCTATTAACGGGCTGAGTAGACACACCATGGCGAGTTTTAGTGGGTAAACCTTCTCCTCTTGGGAAGGAGAAGGGAGTCCCACATAAACCCGGCCTTGTACCACCAAAGCCGGGGTACAATTCTTTATTTACAAAGGATTTCCCCCATGTAAAAAAAAGTTCTTTTGAAAAAGAAGTGCAAGGGGAGAAGCAGAACCTCTCCTTCTTGCCTACACGTTTCAAACACAAAGAACATGTTTTTTTAGTGCGGAAAGTGGAATCTTTCCTGTTATCTCTTTTTTTTCGAGAAGTATTGGTTCTATGCAAAAAAATGTGTAGGACATAAATAATCTCTTTTTTAAAGTGCAACAACTTTTATTTGAAACAGTTTTTTGTGCCATAAATATTTATCAAAATAATGTTAAAAAAGCAGTAATTTTTGAGTTCAGCAAAATCGGAGGGCCGCTTTTCGGAACTTTATCCTTTTTTCTTAAAATGTTTATAATAACAAAAAAGCTAATAACTATTTGTATATTGTATTTGTATATTAAACAGATTAATTAACCTTTACGGAAAGTTTATTAGAATAAAAACTGATATTTTAAATGTAAAATCTGTGAGATACTGTTCGTTGTGTGTGTATTCTCTAAAACAATGATGTAAAGCAACGTAGAAAAATTCCCGCGCTACCATAAAAATTTGTATTCAAAATGTCCAACAGAGTACACGAGTTTCTGTGCATTGATAGAAAGATTAAACGGTTTAAAAGAAGCCTTACTTCTCTTTGCACTTGATATCTAATATTAATTTAATCTTTTTCTATAACACACGTACTTTTTGTTATGCAAGTATGATAGCGCAGTTACAATAAAAGTAGTACTACTTATAATACAATATATAAAGCAGCTTTTACCTTCTACATCTCTGTTAATCGTCGTTTAACGAGATCCGACTGTAAACAACATATCTTACATATGCTTTAGAACAGAGACTTCCAACTGATCACGTGACTGTTTTCCCACCAAGATTCCGCCGGTAGACGTTCCTCGCTTGAAGTTATCCCTTTCCACGACTGCTTTTCACTCCTTACATCGCGCGCGCTCAGGGCCGCCACAAGCAAGTGTGCAACTGTGCACTGCACCAGAGCCGAAGTTTTGTGTGGCAAAGCGCTTAAATTATCCGATACAATAAAAATTGTAAAAAAATTACAAAACATTATTATAGGAAATAGATCGTTTTCTCATAGAATCTATCTACCTCTAATAATGTTTGTAATTTTTTTACAATTTTCATTGTATCGGATAATTTAAGCGCTTTGCCACACAAAACTTCTTGATGAATGATATACTAAAACATTAAACATTAAACATTATTTTCAAAAAGTAATCTTTTTAGACCAGTTTTATATCCAGTCATTGCTGATGTCTCATCAGTAACAATAGGTGAGCATTTTTTAAAAGAACCAACAAATTTCTTTACTTGCTCTTGTAATGCATTATAAATATCAATTTTTTTTGTTGTGTCATGCAATAGAACTAAAGTTACGAAATCTTTATAAATTGACAAATCATATTGAATGATCCACGCAATTATTGATAGCTGACTTATATTTGAATTGTCAGTGCTTTCGTCTATATATACAGGGTGAGTCATCTGAATCTATCACCTCCAATAACTCGTTTGTGTGGCCAGGAATCAAAAAAAGTTTCATATAAAAGTTGTAGGGTTTCGAGGGGGAACCAAAATGGCGTACCTTTCAACTTTTGATTTTGACCGAAAGTGGGTTACTTCAACCGGAAGTGGTTTTTTTACAATGGAAACCCCACTTTTTGACACCGGAAAATGAAAAAGCGGAAAATTTTGCGTTCAGATATAACCTTGGCTGTTTTAAAATTTTCAAGATGGCAAACGAAGATGGCGGACAAAAATTTTAGTCAACCGATTTGCACCAAATTAAGTTTACGAGGGTTTTTGGGGTTGCTGATCACGAATCTGAAGTCAGATTTGCAAAATTCAAAACGGCGGATCTGAGATGGCGGACCAAGATGGCGGACCAAGATGGCGGACGAAAGTTTTAGCCAAAATTAATAGAAATTACTACTCTTAGCACTACCCAGGGACAACGGCGTAGACGTGGTAGTTTTTTGTTCCCTTTGGGGTGCTTTATTTACGTGAGTCCCCTTGCCTCTCACTATCGGGGTGCTTTATTTACGTGAGTCCCCTTGCCTCTCACTATCGAGGTGCTTTATT